AAAAAAAAAAAAAACTTCATATAACAATTGTGTAAAAAAGAAAACCTTCGTATAACAATTTTGAGAGGTGTTTTTTTTCTTGGATTATTTTCATAATTATCTCCTGAATTATATACCCTATTTCAAAGTATCCCAAACTTTTTAAAACCGATCAAAATATTTTTGATCTATAAAAAACAGTTCGAGATGCCCCCTCTATCTAAATCCGTTTCTAATTCAAACGGAAATGTCGAGGTGGCAAGCATTAAAAACTTAATTAAAGCCATTAAATTTCAAATAAATATATGAAAATAATCAAACAATAAAAAAGAAGAAAGAAGAAATTAATAAAAAACAATTTTCAAAATATACACTCCAAAAGCTGAAGCATTTTGTCCACCTGATTTGGGGCATCCCTCATATATCTCTCTCTCTCTTACCCATCCCCAAAGGCACTTTCTTTTCGTATAAAGGAAAAAAAAGGCACAATAGAGAGAACATTGTTTTTCAAAAATTCATTCATATGTGTTATTTTCATTTTTTTTTCTTAAATACATAATGTTATTTGAAATATTAAATCTATTTTTTCTCATAATCATTAAGCTTCGTAAGTTGTAAAAGTAAATTTTTATTTTTAAAATAATTAAAAAATACAAAAGATGCAATGATTACATGAAAAAGTAAACATTTTAACTAAAAGTAATTAAATGCTAATTTTTTTCTATATTATATTTAGTGGACAATTTACTACAAAGTATAACATATGAAAAATTTGACACAACAAATGGCATTGCATTGAAAAGTATTTTTATACTCTAATGTTAAATTTACAATTAGCATATCAATCATAGCATTACATTAGAGTTACTCTTAGACCATCTTCAATATAAATGTTAATGTTAATTATATATTTGATACTAAAAAGTATGATATGACATGTTATTTTCATTTTTACTACAATGCATAATGTTATTTGAAATGTTAAAATATATTTTCCCTATAATTATTTAGCTTTAAAAATTATAAAAGTAAACTTTTAATTTTAAAATACTTTAAAAAAGCAAAAACTGTTTGCTATATGCGATACTTGGTGGGAGATTTCCTGCAAAGGATAGCATATGACAAACAGATAACAACAAATATCATTGCATTAATTAGAGAGTATTTTTTACACTTAAATACTAAATTTACAATTGACACATCAGTTAGAGCATTGTATTAAAATAATTTGCATAAAAATAATTAGCAAACAAATGTTAACACCAAACGAAAAACTAAAAATAAAAGAGCAATCTTCATACAATAAATATTAAAAAAAAAATTGAACGTACTCTGCGTAATTTTTTGGAATAGCATTTGAAATGTTAAAATTAGAGTTTTGTTATGAATTTTAAAATAGAAATAGTTTGTAGTTTGGGAATATGACTTGTGGGGCGTGTGGAAAGAAAAAAAAATATCTATCATTGATTTCCCTTTTGTAATAATTATAATTTAATTATGCAATTAAGAGCATTGTCCTTTTTGATCATTTTATTCAAGGATTTTTTTGTAGTAAGAAATTTTTAATTTAAGGGGGTGTAGTGAATGAAAAAGGGTATGTAAATAAAACCACCTAATATAAAATAATGAAAAAAAAAGAAATGAAAAAAGGGTATGTAAATAAAACCACCTAATATAAAATAATGAAAAAAAAAAGAAATGAATTATATTAATATCCACCTTTACTCCAACTCTTTTTTTTTTTTTTTTTTTGAGAAATACTCCAACTCTTTTTGCCACATTCTTTTCCTCTCGTTAAACTTGCAAAATATGTTACCAAAGAAAAAGAACATCGTTTTCTACGCCATAAAACATAAAAAATTCATTAACAAACAATTTAGAGATGAGTTTTTCAACGTCGACAAGAACATAAAACACCACGACCAATTAATCTGCTTTTGCTGTATTATAAATCAACATTTGACTGGCCCTTCAACCATTGAAAAATCAAAAGCAAAAACAAGATTCCTGGTCAGGGTGCAATGTACTTTTAAACAAGAAAGAGTTATTGACATAAATGGTTCTCAATCTATTAAATAAGTGATAATTTGGTCTTGAATTTTTTTTTTTGATAAATTGACCCTCAACTTTTTAAAATAGATACAATCTGGTCTTTTATGTCAACATCCATTTAAAAGCTAACGGTTCAATGCACGTTACCACTCACGTGGCCTAATTCATCTTGTTTCTCTCTCTCTCCTCCGCTAGAGAAAGACTGAGGAAGCCTGGGTCACGTTCCAATCTCGTATTCAAGTCCACACAAACCGTAACATCAACACCAATCTCCCTCTCCTCCACCAAACAACCGATTTTCCTAGACCAAGCCCTCCTCTCTCTCCTCCGTTAGAGAAAGACCGAGAAAGCTTGGGTCACGTTCCAATCTCGTATTCAAGTCCACACAAACTGCAACACCAACACCACTCTCTCTCTCTCTCCACCACCAAACAACTAATTTCCCAAGAACAAGCCCTCCTCTCTCTCCTCCGCCAGAGAAAGACCGAGGAAGTCTGGGTCATGTGGGTAGTTACGTGCATTGGGCCGTTAGCTTTTAGACGGATCTTGACAGAAAGAACTAGATTGCACATGTTTTAAAAGGTTGGGGGTCGATTTGTTAAAAAAAGTTGAGAACCAAACTATCACTTACTCAATAAGTTTGAGACCATTTGTGCCAATAACCCAACAAGAAAAGAAGATCGAAATAAAAAATTCAGACATTATTTCTTTATTTAATAATTTCTCACAAAATTTAAGCTGTAAAGCTTGGCGACCTTCGAGTAAAATAAGAGGATTGGATGAGAATAAAGCTCATATTGTCGTCTAATTAATTCGACAAAAAAAAAATATCTTGTTTATATGCAATTGGGCAAAAGCTTCTTCATAATGGCGCCATGGCAGCCATTTTTTATTAATTCAAGATAAAAAGTGAAAACAACAAATATAGTACTGGACAGTGACCATTTTCAAATGTCCTAAATAAGGCTTCAAACTTTAGTTCGCCTTTTATCCTTTTTGTTTGATCACTTTCAAAGAAAGCTGAATAAGGACACTATTACCGAATCCATTGAGTAGATGTTATTATTATTATTACTATTATTATTATTATTATTATTATTATTATTAACCCATCCCGGGTTATAACTTATGTAAGTGGAGAGTGGTCAAAATTGCATATCTTATTATTTGATGGTTTCCACTGCGATTGGAGGATACTGGGCGTACGGACACGAGGTATTTACCCTTGGTAGAAGGTATCCACCTTTTTACACCAAAAGCCGTATTTGGGTGAGAGTTATGGACCCATTTAGTTTGTTGATTTGAGTTTTTAATTCGAGTTGAGATATGATTTTATGTGACAATTTTTTACTGTAGTAAAAAAGTTAGATGCGACTGTTTTTGAGAGCTTTTTACTGTAACAAAACTTGAATTCTAAACTCAAATTGGTGAAATGAACAAGTCCATAGATTCTAGGCAACGGTGGAATTCTCAGCAATATATCTATACCATGACCATGAGAGCGTGACACTTTACACTTTGTGCTCGCACTTACAACCTTATTCATCGTAATAAACGCGTTTAGCATCTATATGATCATAAAAACTACAGTTTCTTAGTTCTTAAATATTGTAGGGTTTGACAGAGGTTTCAATTTCAAATTCAGGCTCACAAGTGAATTCAAGGGATTTCTAGATGTCAAAACACAGGTTATCCCATTACAAATCTATGAAATGCCAATTTTCAACAACATGAGTCCAAGTAAGGACTTACAAGCCCTTGTCACGGTTGCTTCGATTGGTGTCACGCAGCCATGTTCGGGTACGTACGGCTGCATCTTTGTGGCCATGGAGATCTCATTCTTGGGTAAACCAGCTCGCTGGTCTGATCATAGAATTAAGAAATTGCCGTACCCTTCACATTAATTTGCTTATTCTTGCTCTATATATAGTGTGGTTTGAAGATTAAGAACTAAGAAGGTCTCGAAAGTTAGCATTAGGTGTTTGAAGTCTCATGATCAATGTACATTTCATTTATCAATCAAAAAAGACGATTTTCTTCTTCAATGGACCTCTTTTACGTACAATCTGCCATAGAACCAGTACTCTTTAGATTAGGAAATACATATATGCCACTGAAGTCCAGAGAACACATGTACAATGACGAAGGTAAAAGAAAAAGTTGTTCAAACAATTTAAAAGGTAATGTGCATAAGAAAGTGAGAGGAAGAAGCATAAGAAAGTTGGTAATATATACATATTGCATATGCATTCATGCTAAAGGGTTACTTGGCTGATGTAAGCTACCAAAACCCGCTGACGTCATCTCTAAATTCAATTAATATTCATCACAAACTTTTTCAATATGCATGCGTGCACGGACATACAAATTATTTGCAAAAGCATACAATTAATGTTCACTAGTACTGAATACTAGTAAATGAATATACTAAGGGCCGGAATGAATCATGAAGAGATTCTTTATAATTTAAAACGTGATTAGTACTTTTAGGAAGGAAAATTTTCAAAAGAAGAGAGAAAATTTACTCACCTACTCGACTGATATTGATAGCACATTAAGGGTCACCATATATACAATAATATGGCTCTCTTATTAAGTCAAGGGAAAGGAACAATCCCCCAAAAAAAGATGATAAAGTATTCCTTAAATTAAGACAAATTGAGCTTTTGTCGTCTTTAGAATAGATGTAATAGCAGCCACAACTGAAGGCAGTCAAAAGATTGCTACTTTAGCCTTATATAGCATTCCCCACCATTAGCCTTTACGAGCTATAAATTTGCATGACTCTAATGAGTTACGACTCAGCATCCATGTTCAAATGGTTCAGTTACGATGTCTTTTTCTGACAAAAGTTTAAATTTCGGCTCAAACTATCTGATTTGAACCCGCGAACCAAACGGGTCTCAATAATTTCCAACCTCTATAAAGATAAGCCCATGATCAAGATCCTTTGAAAAGCTACTCTTCTCATACATATTATACACCTTGAGAGTGATATATATAGCGAGAGAGCTCTGCTTAAAAAGAAATGGGTGAGGTGACGGAAGTGAAGCTGAATCCGAAGGGAAATAGGGAAGAGGTCATATCAGCACCTCCATTCAGACTCCATTCTCCTTTAATAACTTGGTCATCCCCGGTGCTCGATTCAGCGCCCAAAACCCCGGCCAAAAGTCCATTGCTTTCGCGTTTCATGAGCAGTAGTGGTACTACCACTCCTCTAGCCAGCCCTGTGAAAAGGGCAATTGCAAGTATGCAAGGCCATTTGGAAGAAGTTGGACACTTCACAAAGCTTGAGCCACAGGAGGCTTGGCTGCCTATTACCGAATCCAGGCGTGGTAATTCTTACTATGCAGCGTTTCACACTTTGTGCTCGGGGATTGGCGTTCAAGCCCTTCTTCTCCCCCTAGCTTTCGCTATTCTTGGCTGGTAAGTGACAACAACGACACACACACACACACCCTTTTCAGATTTTAAGGATTAATCAGTACTATTAGTACTAATGTTTAGGGCTTAAAATATTTAGCATGTTGAAACTAGCTAGTACTGAACTGATAATATCGTGAATTATTCGATACGTGCAGGGCATGGGGAATTACATGTCTCGTACTGGCTTTCGTGTGGCAGTTGTACACACTTTGGTTACTGATTCAGCTTCATGAATCAGACTCCGGCATGCGCTACAGCAGATACCTTCGTCTCTCCATTGAGGCGTTTGGTAAGCCGTGTGCGTGTGTATTAATATATTGTTCGAGATAATAATTGATATCAAAGACAATTAACATATCTCGATTAAGTTGGGGTCCACTGGCAACCAAATCCTCTACCAAATTCCTCACTCAAAAATATAATAAATAGAAGAAAAATACAGACGAGTTCGAAAAATACGAACAACCTAGTTTGTCTGTGTATATATATATATATTAATTCAACACTAATTATTCAGTTCATAGGAGCATATTTTTCAAAACCAGAATAAGAGCGAAATTAGACCATACAATTAAGTTAGATATATGGATAAGTGATTATAATCAGAGATCAGAAAATAAAGAAGCAAAAAGTCAAAAAAAAAAAAAAAGATAGATGTATAAGTGATAGTGTCGTAGCTCTTTTGTACGTCAGCAAACTTGATATATTATGAAAAAGAGAGGGAAAAGTAGAGATAAATCAACATCATTCTTATCAAAATAATGCTGCTTTACATGAATCCGGCCAATGATAATGCTTCACTAAATAAAGCAAGTAAACTAGCTTTTGTTGAGAAACATGATATTGTAGTTTGACAAGAGACTGGGGTAGATTCATGTGGACATGGTTTCATTGTAGAGCCCCTTGTAACTAAAGTCATCAATCCTGTCTTCCGCCAAAAAAAAAAAAAAAAAAGGGCCAAATCTCTTGCCAACAACTCATGCTGGTTGAAAAATTCTCGTTATACCTAGGCAGAAATCAAGCTTTCTGTCTGATAGGAGAAAAGAGAAAGAAACGTCAAAAGTTGAGAAAATAATGAAAAAAATAAATTGCTTTTTATGTATTAAAATATATGATGCCGTTTTCAGAAAACCACTGACTATTAAGGTCAACAACAGGTGAGAAGCTAGGGAAACTGATGTCCCTCTTTCCGATCATGTATCTTTCCGGTGGGACCTGCGTGACACTGATCATGATTGGTGGAGGCACCATGAAGATGTTTTTCGAGCTTTTGTGCAATGAAACGTGCAATGTAAAGCCGTTGACGACAATAGAATGGTATTTGGTGTTTACCTGCATAGCCACTGTTATAGCTCAACTTCCTAACCTCAATTCAATAGCTGGGATTTCCTTGATTGGGGCTATCACTGCCGTGAGCTATTGCACGCTGATTTGGGTGATCTCAGTGAGCAAAGGCAGGCTTAAGGGTGTGTCGTATGAACCATTGGGTGCAAAATCAGATGTAGCCACGCTTTTTGAAACTCTCAATGCGCTTGGGATCATTGCCTTCACTTTTAGAGGCCACAATCTTGTGCTTGAAATACAGGTAACTTTTCAAGAGTTTGAGTTTATTATTATTATTATTTTTATTTTCCGCTAAGTTATGGCTGCATCTATAACTAATATATAATTTTTATACAGGGGACGATGCCATCGAGCATTAAGCGCCCATCCCGACTACCAATGTGGAAAGGAGTGAAGTTTGCCTATTTAATCATTGCAATGTGTTTGTTTCCCCTTGCTATTGGCGGCTATTTGGCTTATGGGAATAAGGTAAGGATTTATACTAATTTAAAATTATTAATTTATCAATTTATCTTAAAAATTTAAGCTGTTAAAAGTTAGGTCAACAATAATTTTATACTTTAACACTCTCCCTCATATGTGGGCTGAATAATTGGCAATTATGTGGGTAAATTAATTAAAAAGCCCAACACGTGAATATTTAAGCCCGAAATATATTAAAGACTTAATACATGATGACAATTTAAATGAGAATAAAAAGTACAATTACAGGAGTACTTTAAACTCAGGACCTCCTACTCTGATACCACGTTAGTTTACAAATCTATTCCAAAAACTTAAGTTGTTAAGAGTTTGGCCAATAATAATTTTATATTTTAGAAGAAACTATATCTATCATGTTGCCTACAAAAATGACCGCTGAGTTCGTGTTGATTTGTTGGTTGAAGAGGAACTAATTATGTGTCTGGTGGCAGATGCCTGTTTCAAACGAAGGGCTGTTATCTGCTATGTACAAATTCCACAAACGAGACACATCAAAATTCCTTCTAGGGATGACAAGCATGTTGGTGGTGATTAACAGCCTAAGCTCGTTTCAAATATATGCAATGCCAGTATTTGACAATCTGGAGTTTAGATACACCAGCGCCTTAAACCAACCATGCCCACGCTGGCTACGCTCGGCTCTGAGGATTTTCTTTGGCTGCCTGGCTTCTTTCATAGCAGTTGCACTTCCATTTTTGCCGAGCTTAGCGGGGCTCATTGGCGGAGTGGCATTGCCCGTCACCTTGGCATATCCAAGTTTCATGTGGATGCTCATCAAGAAACCCCAAAAATATAGCGCTGTTTGGTTCCTCAATTGGTCGTTGGGAGTCTTGGGTATGCTTATCAGCGTTTCGGTCGTCACGGGGGCAATCTGGAGTATTGTTACCAAGGGACTAGAAGTTCACTTCCTCAAGCCAGAATAACAACGTTGAAGAGAAAAATCCTGTGGAAGAACGGACGCTAAAACAAGCTGCTGCGAATATTCAATTTAATGGGTTTCTAATCCACCGTGTTCAATCAAAACTGACCCATGTCCTTGTTTGACTAAATTGTAACACTTATTCCTGATGTTAGTTGTGGATAAATAAACCATATGGCTTTGTGCTTGCATCACAAGTTCCCTACTTCCCTTTTGCTCACAAGCTGTAGGATACTTGTATAACTTTATCCTCTAGCTAGTCTTTCTATATATTTTAAATGATTAAAATTAATTTGATCCTTATGTTTACTACTTCGGTTCTTTCCCTTGTATTGTACATTATACTATCTACTATAAGAGACACCTAAGTTACTGTTCTTTGAATACTGCCCAGTCCCTTCTCTCCCTCTGATTATAGAAAATTCCGCTCATGTTCTTTTAGTGCGGCAAGATTTAGCTAAAAACCGCATGTCAAAACTCAATTGCGCATCTTCTTAAGTGCTCTCCATGTGGCAGAAGCAGATTGCGGTCAACAGCTTAATCACGTGTCGCACTTTGATTCGCAGGAAAGAAGAAAGTGGCGGGGCCCACCTCCGGTTTTGCTGACGCCATTGTCCCCTACCACACGTTGGACGCGCAATCTTCTTGTGCGTGTGTTTTACGTGCCAATCGCAGCCGCTGAATTTTTAGATCCGATGGCCTGTGATAAATGCCGGATTATTTTTAATTATTACTATATTTAATTACTACTTTATAATGGATTTGTAGTTCGATTTTATCCATTCTAACATCATTTTGCATGAAGTTTCTAATACGACTTAGATAAAAATACTATAAATGATCAAATTAAATTCAAAAATACACTAGTCTGTTTGGTTTATGGATTAGAATCATGAGATTAAAACCATTTTCGATTTACGTGTATTTTTTGTGAGAGAAAATACTGTAGCAAATCATGAACCATGATTCGAATCAGAGAACGAATCATCAAACCAAACGGGCTATAAATAAAATAAAATCACGTCAAATTAAATTAAAAAATAAATTAATCAAAATAGATTTATATGTGCCTATCAGCCTAATCCCTCCTCCACTACCACTACAGACCCCCAAAAAAGTTTCATTATTAAAGCTCTACCACATATGTCACACCGCGAGCTCTTTAGGCCGGACCAAATAAAATTCAGTTCATCATACTTTAACACGTTTCTTTTATACCTTTTTTTCCCTTTCGTGTCTTTCTATTTTTAAACAATTTACATATTAATTATTTTAAATAGATCACATGTCTGACTTAGAATCATTCAAATTTTTCTAATTATTATATTTATTTATTTTTAAGTGATTTATTGGCCGAGTTTTTACACCATTTTGCACCAACTTTTTTATGCTACACAGATAAGAATATATAAATAATTTGTATGAATTATAACCATTTAACTACCATTTTACACCAACTTTCGGATACTACACAAATGAAAATATTGTGAATAATTTTAATGAAAATATAAATAAGAATATGTTTAGTTAAAATAGAATCAAATCACACCAAATTAAATAAAAAACAAATTCAAACAAAACATAGTAAAACTAATTAAAAACACAATAAAATAAGTTAAAATCTTTTTGTTGTTAGAGGTATGTTTTTTTCTTTTTTCACTTTTTTTGAAAAATAATTTATATAACCGTTATTTTTAAACGAATCACGCGCACATATATATGTAAATAAATATATATGCATATGTAGTAAACTTACAACAATCTGTAAATTGATTTTTGACTGTGTATCATCATTTGTGTTAACTTTTAAATATCATCTTCATACTCTTATTTTTTTTAATATTTTTTTTGCATACTCATTATTTCGTAACTGATTTTAACTTATTATGTATTACATTATTTTTTTGCATACTCATTATTTTTTTGCATATGTATTACATTGTTTACTTCAATCTTATCATAAAATAAATAAACAAACATCCGTGCAATAGCAAGAAAGCAATAGCAACTAGTGACATCTAAAGCTGGTATTTTAGATGTCGCAGCCTAACAAGCACTGGAAAGAACATACGTATCTAAAAAAATCCAACATAACACCTATCTTCAATGATAAGAACAAACTTTTCCTTCAGCATCTTCTGAAGAATTCATATCGATTCGGTAGGTGTGATTACAGATTCATATAAATGAAAGAGGGACAAGGGGAAATCCAATAGCCAAGAATTCTCGTGATTTACACATCAAAATGGGATACGTATGACTTGAACTAGTATTACATAGACAAGGGAAGAAGCATTCTTCGTTTCTTTTTTCTCGCCAATCTCACTTGCTTCGTGACTTTCATGCACAAGAGTAAAAGCATTGTGATGCACACCAAGATAAATGCGAGACGTATTTGCCTAAAGTATAAAGAAACAGTAGAAAATACCAAGAAAGCTAGAATCACCAGCTCCCATATTACAAAGATTACAACATCTACCCTGCATCCAGAGAGGGAAAAAAAAGAACAAAAATTCAAAACATTATCTGGAATGTTGCTATCCCACAAAAACATAAAGAGAATCAAAACATTTATAATAGAACAAATTGCAAATGATCTTCATGTTGAGAAAAAGGTTCTACTTCTAAAATACTTTAGTTTACTATTTGAAGAAATGATTAAGTCAACACACAAATCAGAGAAAGTACCAATAGCTTTAAGAAAACAAGTGGAAATTATCACAAAAATGTCCGCAAATATGCACTCGTGCAATACGTTGATGCCAAACCAAAGACTTCTTCCCACAAATGGATTCAATCCCTTTTCACAAAAACATATTCGTAATGAATAATTACGCCAAAGGCGTTACACATGAAAATCCAGAAGTCTTCATCATTCAAATGGTGCAAACCAATTAATTGCAGAGTGCCAATATTAGAGAGAGAGAGAGAGAGAGAGCACATATACGGCTCATCAAAAGGGAAAAGCCTAAAAAAGGAAAGTCCAAACACACAAATACGCAAATGTCTGCTTCCCCACAAAGAATACCTATGTCTGAGTTCCATTTGCAAACACAATACAGATTACAGAATAACAATTATACTCCCTCTTTCAAATCATTAATCTATACCAATAAAGTTATCATCTCCTAGATTAGTTTCTTGTGTTTTGCTTGATGTTACTGATCGTTTCTCATCAGTGAGAATAACTGCGAATCTTTTTCCTCTCTGTTTTTTTTTCGTTGTTTTTGTATTTTGTTAGATAATTTTGTGCTACATCTATTTATACAAAGAACAATATATAAGCAAAAAATAAAAGGAAAATAAGAAAAAAAAATCCTAACCAATCAATTGAAAACTCAAAACCTAATTCCACAAACCCATCTATCCCGATGATTCGAAATCCAAATATACGATCAGAAGCCAAAGAAAGAAGAAAAAAAAAAAAGAGATTTTGCTAAATGCAACTAGAACCCCAGAATCTAGTTCAATCAATAACGCTAAGATATGAACTTTCTGGCAATTATCACCAATAACGAATAAGATTATCAATCATAGATCCCACAATCAAATAAAGAACCATGCGAGATTTCACAGATAAAGGAAAATAAATACCCTAATTACAATCGAGAGAATTGGAATTACCTTGAAGAAGTGAGATTAGAGGTGGAGGAGAAGAAGGAGACGGAGGCCCAGTCGTGTTTGGATCGAATTTGATACTCTCTCAGCTGCTCTGCAAGATTCGATCTTGTTATCATCGCTAATCCCTCTTCTCTCTTCAGGTAAACTTCCTTCCTCTCTCTCTCTCTCTCTCTCTCTCTCTCTCTCTCTCTCTCTCTCTCTCTCTATCTCTTTCTACAAAGGTCTCAGAGGTAGAGAAACGAAGAAGACGATGCAGATTGCAGAGACTCGAACGAATTGAAAGAAGAGAGAGAAGACAGAGCGAGAGAGAATCGAACGGTCTTCGCTCAGCCTTCGGTTTTGCTTTACTTTCGTTGTCGCGTGGACGTTCTCCCACTGTAACTTTCTTTCCCTTTGGCCTTTTTTAATTTTTCATCTAAAATAGGGGAGATTCTCTAATTAGTCACGTACCGATATGTTAAATTTTTTAATCATTAGATATGTATATTTTTTTAGTTTTATGTGTTTTTATACAGATTAAATAGATATAAAATTTAATCTACTGATATGTTGACGTACCAGATAAAATCTCTAAAAATAAACCGTCAACTACTAGTCTGGTGACAAAATTAGCTTTAGAGCACTCTCTCTCTTTTTTTCTTTTTTTTCTTTTTTTTTCTTTTTTTTCTTTTTGGTTAATCTCAGCAATACCCCAAATTTTTTAGTCATTCTCAATTTACACTCTAAAACTTAAAAACTCTCACATTATAAAAATTAAATTAGTCATATTTAACCAACTTATTAACACAGAAAAAGAGGAAATTAAGTGTAGTTATGTTGTCTTTCTTTGTTTGTTTTTAACAGAAGTTCTAACAAAAAGATCATGTGACCATATTGCCCCTTTTCTTAAAAATGTTTTTTTCATAAAAATTCTAACATGCTAGGTTAAGTGAGACTAAATTAAAATTTAAAAGGATAAATTCATATTTTTTTTAAACTCGAGAACCAAACTAGAAATGACATTAAAGTTAAGGGGTAGTAAAATAATCCCTTTTTTTCAAACTCTTGCTTAGACAAAAGATCATGTGACCATATTGCCCCTTTTCTTAAAAATGTTTTTTTCATAAAAATTCTAACATGCTAGGTTAAGTGAGACTAAATTAAAATTTAAAAGGATAAATTCATATTTTTTTTAAACTCGAGAACCAAACTAGAAATGACATTAAAGTTAAGGGGTAGTAAAATAATCCCTTTTTTTCAAACTCTTGCTTAGACAAAAAAAAAAAGTAAAAACTATAGGCAATAGCAGTACGTTTTTTAAAAAATGAAGTAAATAACATATTTTTAAAAATAAAATTTAAAATTCTAAGAATGTCGTGCATCTTCTGTGCCATTTTTGTTATAACGACTGCGTCGTCGATGTTGGGGGAGATCGATGAGAGAGAGAGATATGTGTCTTATTATTTACAATGATTTTCATATCGCGGGTCCGTCTATGATGGGGAGAGAGAGAGCGAGGATGGGACATGGAGAGAGAAAGTGATGAAGGGCATGCTCTAGTCAATCAATGTGGCTGATGCTCATTGTCGTTTCTTACTGTTGGCTCTGAGTTTATTGTCGTTCGGCCCCATTTTTAGTGTCATTTCTTACTAATTAAAACGTAAATTTATTTATCATTTGGTTAATTGTTTTCTCTAAGCTATAAATAGCTGATTGTCAAACACTTAAAAGAACTAATAAAGTATTATTGAGATTTCTCAGAGTTTTGATTTATTTTGCTTATTTATTCATTTGTTTAGGGTTCGGCTCTAGAGGCCTCTCTCCTGTGGTTTTAGCCAAAAAAAAAAAACCTTTTGTCCAGTTGCGGCAGCACCAGAAAGAGCAAGGAAGATGGAGGAGATAGTGAATACGAGAGGGAGGAGAGAGAAGGAGGAGAATCTAAAATTAGGGTTTTAGGCATATTAATAGGGGTATTTTTGATATTTTGGTGTAGGTAACAATATTTGATTTATACTTTTCTACTATTTACTGCACTTTTTTCTAATTCTGCTATTAATTTTAATTCTCCCTTCAAAGTCTGCTATTTCCCTCTTTCTTAAAAAAAAAAAAAAAAAAACGCTAATGTTAATGGCCACGGGCCTGATGATCAGGCATAAGCCCATTATTGGGTTTAAAAGGCCCAAGGATAGAACAATGAAAGGCCTATAGATTTACTCGAGTGAAAGCCAGTCCACATTCGAAAAGCTAACCTGATTATGGAAATGGAAGCCACGGACACACCCCAAGACCCCTCCGATACCAACCCTGACGACGTCGTCTCCGGCGACTCCTCACCTGATACCGACGCCACAATCTCCGAGAACCTCGCTCACGATTCCCGAGACTCACCGGAAAATGCCTCCTCCGCTCCCCAAACGACGGTCGAAGCTCCCATTTCCGACTCCCTCGACGATTCCTCCGATCCTGTTCCCGAAGACACCGCCGATGAGCCACCGCAAAACCTCTCCAACCGACCCGAACGCGGCCCAACCGAACCGGGCCCTCCGGCGAGGAAACGACGCCGTAGAAAGAAGTTCTTCACCGAACTCAACGGAAGTCCGTCGCTGGCCAAGATTCGCCGCGCCGACCTAGCCAAGGAGGTCGACATCGAAGCCCTAATCGCGGTTTCAGTGGGATTTCCTGTCGACTCGCTCACCGAGGAGGAGATCGAGGCCAACGTGGTCGCCACCGTTGGCGGGACCGAGCAGGCGAACTACATAGTAGTGAGGAACCACATTCTGGCGCGTTGGAGGTCGAACGTTTCCGCATGGTTGACGCGCGACCACGCGCTCGAGTCCATTCGGTCGGAGCACAAGGGCTTGGTCGACTCGGCTTACCGGTTCCTCCTCGAGCACGGCTACATCAACTTCGGGCTCGGACCGGCCATGAAAGAACCGAAATTGAGGTCCTTCGACGGGGCCGAGAGGGGCAATGTCGTAATTGTCGGCGCCGGCTTGGCTGGTTTGATTGCGGCGAGGCAATTGGTGTTTCTAGGGTTTAAAGTCGTAGTCTTGGAAGGTAGGGCCAGACCTGGAGGTCGCGTAAAGACGAAGAAGATGAGTGGCGATGGTGCCGAGGCTGCAGCGGATCTCGGTGGGAGCGTCCTCACCGGAATAAATGGCAATCCGCTTGGAGTTCTAGCTAGGCAATTGGGTTTGCCTCTTCATAAGGTGAGGGATATTTGTCCGCTTTATTTACCTGATGGGAAAGCAGTAGACTCGGAAATTGATTCTAGAGTAGAGGTTTCTTTTAACAAGTTGCTAGATAGAGTATGTAAGCTTAGGCAGGCAATGATAGAGGAAGTTAAATCCGTAGATGTCCCATTAGGAACTGCATTGGAAGCTTTTCGGAGAGTTAATGGCGTCGCGGAGGACCCACAAGAGCGGATGCTCTTAGATTGGCATCTAGCTAACTTGGAATATGCAAATGCCTCTCTAATGTCGAATTTATCAATGGCATATTGGGATCAGGATGATCCGTACGAGATGGGGGGTGATCATTGTTTCATTCCCGGCGGCAATGAGACCTTTATCCGAGCCCTTGCAGAGGACCTTCCGATTTTCTACAAAAGGACTGTGGAGAGCATTAGGTATGGAACCGATGGGGTGTTGGTGTATGCTGGTGGCCAGGAGTTTCGGGGTGACATGGTTCTCTGCACGGTGCCATTAGGAGTCTTGAAGAAGGGGTCTATTGAGTTTGTCCCTGAGCTTCCGCAGCGAAAAAGAGATGCCATCCAGAGACTAGGCTTCGGGTTACTGAATAAGGTTGCCATTTTATTTCCTTATAACTTTTGGGGTGGAGATATTGATACCTTCGGTCATTTGTCTGAGGCTCCAAGCATGAGAGGCGAGTTCTTTCTGTTCTATAGCTATTCCTCTGTATCAGGAGGTGCGCTTCTAGTTGCTCTTGTGGCAGGAGATGCTGCTGTTAGGTTCGAGCTGATGTCCCCTGTGGAGTCCGTTAAAAGGGTGTTAGAGATATTGAGAGGTATCTTTAATCCCAAAGGGATTGTTGTTCCAGACCCGATTCAGGCTGTTTGCACTCGCTGGGGAAGGGATAACTTTGCCTATGGATCATATTCCTATGTCGCAGTAGGCTCTTCTGGGGACGATTACGATATACTTGCAGAGAGTGTTGGGGATGGGAGATTGTTCTTTGCTGGAGAAGCGACTAACAAACAGTATCCAGCAACAATGCATGGGGCATTTCTCAGTGGAATGAGAGAGGCTGCCAACATATTTAGAGAAGCCAAAAGGAGGTCCTTAATTTCTCCTAACAAGTTAAATGATGTTAATGAGGAAGTTGACAATTTGAATAAATTGTTTGACGCGCCTGATCTGACGTTTGGAAGCTTCTCTGTGTTATTTGATCCGGGGTCAAATGATCTCGATTCGAAGTCCTTGTTGAGAGTGAAATTTAGAGGGGGAAAGTTAGAACTCGCTTGTCTCTGTCTCTATGCCTTGATTTCAAGGAAGCAGGTTATTGAGCTGAGCGGGGTTGGTGGGGACGATGACAGGATGAGAATGTTGAATCATGAATTTGGAGTGAGACTGGTTGGAAGAAAAGGCTTACTATCCGATGCCGTCGAATCTCTAATGACCCGCATAAGGTTGGCTAGATCCAACCCAAATGGAGGCAATCAAATTCAAGTGAAATGACGCTTGTTAGAAGGAAGCTTCTAATTGTGGCATCATGATTGGATCTTAGAGGCTAACTCAATTGCTTGTTAATTTTTTTTTGACATTTATCTCATTTGGAAATCGATTGACTTGTTGGATTTGATTCTGGCTGCTTCATGAGGTACGTAAATGGCAGCGATTTGTTTCTTCTACGTGAATGCGGCATGGACTTGGCAATAGGCTCTTTTATGCAGTGTTCTCAGTCCATAGTTACTCCGAGAGCTGCCAGATATCAGTTGATCCTCCGTGGACCTATCACCTCTTTTTTTTTTTTTTTTTTTGGTAAAAATTTATTATTTTAGTCACATTACAAAATTTGTTAATCCATTTTTTGACAAGTGGTTTTATCCCTTCGCTATGGTAAGTTGGTGCCATACAGAAGGGATGCTTGTAGGGATGTGCTTTGTTTGGAAATGCATTTGGCAACATATTCGGGCAGAATTCGCTTTTAAATTTGGCAAATGAATCTTTGAATTTGTAATTTTTGAAACAGTTGTAAGCAGATTGCATGCGGGCTATGGCATACGTGTGTTTTCTATCATATACCATCATTAGGTTGACAATATAAAAAAAAACAATAAAATAATAATAATAATTATAAAAAGAATGACTCAACAACTTTAAAAAGAAATAAAAAAAGTTTCAAGAAACAACTGTCATCTGTGTAAATTAACTTCCAAACCAAAAAAAAAAACCACAAACAAACGACGTCAGCTAGAAAAGGACATTTAATATTTAAACGACAATGAGTGCAATAAACGACAGATATTTGTAGGACATGATCCTTGAAACGACAGTAACCTCATGAATAGAACGACAAAATCCCCAAAAACTACACGAACCTTAATAAAAAGATAGAAAGAGAGAAAAAAAAACACCTCATGAAATGGGAAGCGACAACAATTTGTCGAAACGACATTTATAAAAAACGACAATGACCTGAAAAAAAGAACATTCTTGAAACAAAAAACAAAAACAAAAAAGAAAGGGTTAATCGCATAAATGGTCCTTGAGATTTATCTTTAATTTCACTTTGGTCCATGACTTTTAAAATATCTCATAATTGGTCTCTGAGGTTTTATTTTATTTCAGTTTCGATCTTTCCGTCATCTAGGTGTTAATTTTTGATGGAATCTGTAAAAATTAGAAACCAAAATTGAAAACATTTAAAGTTTAGGTGCTAAAATAATACAAAAAAAAAATGAAAGTTGATTTTTCATGAAGAGTCTCCAAATTTTAGTTGTTTTTAATTTTTCTCTTTAATTTACACAAATTATGCCAAATATTTGACTCAAACTGTAACCGAGTAAAACCGTCATGAATCAAATGCGGGACTTAAAAACTCAGAAACCAAAGTGGAAATGAGAGTAAACCTGAGGACTATTACTGGGATTAACCCAAAAAGAAAACATTGATAGGAACTACATTAATGGTAAAACGCTAAATTGACATTTAAAACGATAACAAAATAGAAAAGGAAAATACTTGAAGGAACGGCATAAACCAATAACATCAACTTTTTGTTAGGACTTTGGTTGTCTACCCAGACCCAACTCTGGTATAATTTGAGCTGGAATTATTGGTTTGCTTAGAGATCATTAATGGGCCTTTTTTTCTGACAATCATTTAATTAATGGGCCTACATTAGTCCCAAAGATTCTTAATTGAAATTGGAGAAAATTCTGGAATACCGATAGAATTAGACTCATGATTTATTCGGCCTTTTTTTTTATAATTTAAATTTTTTTATTACAGTATTTTCTTTCATAAAATTTTCATGTAGATATTAAATAAATGTTACAACAATGTTAAAATTGTGATGAATTCAGTAAAACTATAAAGAACTTCAATTATCCCGAAAATTATTATCTGGTAGCAATAAATGAGAAAGTGATTTTAACCTAATTCTGTAGCATTATGAGATAGTAATGCATAGCTTGTTGAAAATTGCCATGTAGATATTCAATTTCCACATCGACATACTATTATTGGCAGTTAACTTCCCCCACGAGACTTTCCCCTCCATGGCCTAGTGGCCCTAGTCACGTTGATCTCGATTCAAATAAGTTAAAGCCTTAAATGTTAAGTTTGTAACGTCTTGTATTCCTTCTATTCTTCATGCTTTTACTACCACCCTCTGAATTGTCCGTTTTTTCAATACCAACCCGTTTAATTCGATGATTTAAGTTTTTAATTTGAGTTGAGATGTGACTTTATGTGAGAATTTTTTACTGTAATAAAAAAATTAGATGTGACTGTTTCTGAGAACTTTTTACTGTAACAAAACTTAAATTCTAAACTCGAATCAATGAAGTGAACGGGGCCCAAATTATTTTCATAACTTCGAGGAAAAATCCCTCTTTTTTTTTCTTGATCTCAACAAATTAGACAATAAGAACCCCATCACGTGCCCATACACGTGACAACGTGAGGTTCAAAACGTACAAAATATAAGTTTTTTCTTTTTTTTTTTTTTTTTTTTTTTTTTCCCCTGAAAAAATAAAATTTTTTTTTTTTTTTTTTTTTTTTTTTTTTTTTTTTTGGCCCTTTACTATTTTCTTCCTTGACCTTGAACTAAAAGTGGAATAAAAATTGTACGCATAGGTACGCCCACGCAGCACCGGACCGACCACTTGTCCTTATGTCCCACAAAGAGCATTCCCAAGGAACGTATCTTGGGAAAATGACAACCATCTAACGGATTAAAAACTGGACCCTCACGAGTCATACCGTGCACCTACCAGTCCCGGATCTCGATATCGCCACGCCACCCTCTTCCCGAAGCACCTGCCAAGTGGCCACGTTACGACTCTCCATTAACTGGGGCCCCCTTGACCGACCTTCTCAGTTTAATCAAATCACGGCCGACACTCGCGGGTCCCACAAGTACACCCTCTCACGTTCGCCTTTTACGTGGACGCATCCTATTGGTCAAAAGCGATCAGCAATAGTACACCGGGCCACCTTTACTTCTTTTCTCCTTTTGGCTGTTCATTTTCTCATTTCCTGAACTTGACCAATACGCCCAAATTCCCCGATCCCACACAATGACGTGTCAACGCAGTAAAGCGAGTACATCACAAACGTACGCGTCAGAGCGTAGAGATTTTAAAGTTTACTAGATATTTTTCTATTGGCTGGATTTTCGTCCTTTATGTTCTTGGCAAAAGCAGAAACGTCGGTTATAGGAGGAGGAATTGAGCTGGACTGGATTGGATGGCCTTAAAAGCTTTTTTCTTTTTTTAATTTTTTTTTCCCTTAATCGCGTTGGATCCGCGTGGAGTGACGCTATATAAACCACTCCACTCAGCCAATACCAAAACCATCATCGTTGCAAACTTATATCCACTTGCCAAGCATTTCAGTTTAAACTCACTCATACAACTTCAAAACCAATTTCATTTGTTTGTGAAAACAAAAAAACAAAAAAACTTTTGTTAATTATGGCTGAGGAGAACAAGAGCCGCGAGTACGAGGCCAAGGTTGGTGAGGAGGGCGGTTCGGTTGAGAGTAAGGATCGCGGGCTGTTTGATTTCTTGAGTAAGAAGGAAGACAAGAAGGAAGAGGAGAAGCATGATCATCATGATCATGGCCATGATTATCATCACCAGCAAGATGTGGCTATCGCCGGTGACTTCGAGAAGGTCAAAGTGTCGGAGGCTCAGCCCGTAGCAGCTTATCATCATGTTGAGGAACCAAAACACAAAGAGGAGGAGGAGAAAAAGCCCGGTTTGCTGGAGAAGCTCCGCCGATCAGACAGCAGCTCCAGCTCTGTAAGTACTCATATGTTTTTAGTTTGTCGATTTAATATTATCACGGTTTTTGATGATCAGGTTTAGAATAAAAATTAAAAAAAGGCAACTCTTCAGTAGAATACGGTTTTCAGATCATATTAAATAAATAAAAAAAATACGACAATTTAACAAAGTCTGTCGGTAAGAAATTTTTTCTCATCTTACCATAAAACTCTCTATGAAAAGTGTTAGTATTAATCACTATATATTTGTTAGCATGATATTCAAAATTGTTAGTGTGATCATTCTAGATGAATTTTACTTTTGATCAGTCCTCTTATGGATCGAATTAGCTACTTTATAGTATTTACACCTTTTTTAATTTTTAATTTTTTTTTATGTACAGTCAAGTGATGAGGAAGGAGGTGAAGGAGAGGAGAAGAAGAAGAAGAAGAAAGAGAAGAAGGGGCTGACGGAGAAGATCTTGGGACACAAGGAAGAGCAGAAGAAGGAAGAGCATCATCATCACGAGGACACAAACATACCGATCACGTACGAGGAAGGTCATCCAGAAGCGGAGAAGAAGGGATTTCTCGAGAAGATTAAGGGGAAGCTGCCTGGACAGCAAAAGAAAGAAGAGGTGGCCCCACCACCACCACCACCTCCTGCAGAAACTCATCATACAAGTACTACCACTCATGGTGAGTATTCAGAAGTGGAAGCCAAGGAGAAGAAGGGCATTTTGGAGAAGATCAAGGAAAAGCTTCCTGGGTACCACTCCAAGACCGAGGAGGATAAGGAAAAGGAGAAAGAGAAAGGAAGTGATTACCATTAATTAAGGTGTTAAGATGGGGTCGTGTCGGTTTCTTTTTCTTTTTGAAAAAGAAACCAAAATGGATTGATGATGGTGTGGTTTGTTTGTCGAGCATGAAAGTAATTATATATGATGGGTCTATTGTTGCTTCTTTTTGCTTTTTTTTTTTCTTGTTTTTCCTTTTTTTTTTTTTTGCAAGTGAAAAGAAAAAATATATGTAACTGCTTTTTTATATACTTATGTATTATACGTTTGTTTATGATTTTATTCATGTAATGAAAAACATCTGTTTTTTTTTTTTTTAAAGTATATTCCTATTGCGAGTACTATTAGTACATTGCTCTCATTTCTGTTATAATTATTGTAAATGGCTTATTTTCGCTGAAATTTTTCAAGTAAACTTACTATACTATCACTTGGGATACGTGGTTTCACTTTAGGATCAATATTATTATCACCCCTCTCTATTCCTCCTAATAATCTAATCCAAGATAAATAAAAAGACCTGATGATCTTAATAAGGAAGATATCACCCCTCTCTATTCATTTTAGGTAGTTTATGTATTTCCGTGGAAGATTTGTAATCATGCAATATCTTTTTCCTTATGTCATTACTTTTCCTTAGATAGCTTAATTTTGTACATGTACATATGTTGTATTTCACACAGTAGTAATGTATCGGCAAAAACCATTTTATCAACTTTTAAGGGGCCTTTTTTTTGGAACAAACTTAAACAAAGTTTTTTTTTGGAACTTGAGTTATAATTTTATTTAAATTTATTCTTTTATAAAATTTGAGTTTGAACTCGAGTTTAGAGTTAAATTTGAGTTTAAGTTTTCTTTTCAACTTGAGTTTATAAACTCGAACTCAAGTTAATAAATAGTATTTTTTCTGTTTTTAAAAATGTCATAATTTTTTCGTTTTAATTCTGATTGAGATGATTTTTTTTTCTATGTATTCACAATGAAAAGATGAATAACACCCCACCCATATATCTTATTAAAATTTTTTATCACCATTGAGTTTTTTTAAAATACTATATAAATACAAATTTAAGTTTTGACTCATCTAAACACAAACTCAAATAGATTCACAATTTAAATCATAACTCAAATGTGCACATCTAAATACAAACTCAAGTTACAACTTCAACTCAAGTTATAACTAAAACTCAACTTAAAATCATCACTTAAATTACCCTAATTTAAAAATGTAAAAGAATAACCACTAACGTCTAATTCATAAATTAGAATTATGTGATTAGAATTATTTTTTATTTATGTATATTTTTTATAAAAAAAAATATTATAACGAACTAAATTATGATTCAAATTATTATTTAAATCTTCTAACCAAACATTCCATAAATATTTCATACGGTATTAGAGCCACTTATCTCTCACGAGAAAAAGAAGCTATGGCCGACCAAAACTCAACTGAATCTGCGTCCCCTTCCTCTGCCTCCTCTCATTCACGTACAACTATCATCAACACCCCTGAACAACCTCAACCAAAACTCTCTTTTTTCAATAACTTGGCTGCCCAAACAATCGTCAAACTCACATCCACAAACTACACGTCATGGCGTTTCCAATTTAACACTCTTCTCACATGTTATGACCTCATGGGGTTTATTGATGGAACGTGACCACGTCCGCCTCCGCTCATCGCTTCTTCTACTGGCGAAACTGTCAAATGTCAACTCTGCAATCAACAAGGCCACTCCGCCAAAAGATGTACCTTGGACTTGTAACCCTCAATCCACCAACAACTTTACACCGTCAACCTTGCCACTGCCAACACACCCTCAGCATCTGAATGGCTGCTTGACTCTGGCGGTACTCACCATGTCACATCCGATCTAAATAATTTTTAGAACTCATTGTTTCACATATTTAAATTTTTAATTTAAATTAAGATATGATATTTTTGAGAATTTTTAATTTCAGTAGAAAAAATTAGATGCGATATTTTTTGATAATTTTTAACTGTAAAAATTTAAAATTAAAAATTTAAATCGGTGCAATGAACGAGACTTTACTTTCTTTGATTGATGGATTCGTATCCTGATTCGAATAATGGTTCGTTGTTCGCTACAGTATTTTCTCTCACAAAAAATACACGTAAATCGAGAATAGTTCTGAATCATAATTCTGAATCCATGAACTAAACATCCACTTACTCTTCCTTCTTCATCTAAGTGGACCGTTTGATTTATGGATTCAGAATCATGATTTAAAACTATTTTCAATTTACATGTATTTTTTATGAGAAAAAATATTGTAACGAGTCATGAACTATAATCTAAACCATGATACGAATCTACTAACTAAACACACACTAATTCTTTTATTTTACGTGATGTGCTCTGTGTTCCAACTATGAAAAGGAACTTGGGCCCCGTTCATTTCACCGATTCGAGTTTAGAATTCGAGTTTTGTTACAGTAAAAAGCTCTCAGAAACAATCACATCTAACTTTTTTGCTACAGTAAAAAGCTCTCACATAAAATCATATCTAAACTCGAATTAAAAACTCGAATCAGTTAACTAAACATTCTATTGATATATGTTTCTCAATTTTGCAAAAACAATAAAGTCTCAATTGAGTTCTTACCATTTTCTTTTCATGTGAAGGATCATTGTACGGGGGCCTGTCTTTTGTAAGGAGCGACTAAGGATGGTGTTTATAAGTGGTCGTCATCTTCTCCACCAGCAACACCCATTATTGCCTTTTCCTCCATCAAAGCACTAACATTTCAATGGCACCATCGTCTCCCTCTGTCAAAATCTTAAGTCATTTAGTTTCGTCTAAAAATATTTCAATATCATCCAGTTCGTCGCAATTTCCTTGTAACTCATGCAAATGTAATAAAAGCCATAAGTTGTCATTTTATGAATCTCCTCTTGACAGTTCAAAACCTCTCGATTTAGTTTATTCTGATGTTTGGAGTTCACCAATAATTTCTGTTGATGGCGTTAAATATTATGTCGTGTTTGTCGATCACCACATTCGATACATTTGGCTTTATCTTCTCAAACAAAAATCCGAGGTTTGAGATGTTTTTACACGTTTTAAGGCGTTAGTTGAAAAATATTTAAAATCCCAATCGTTACATTATACACTGACAATAGGGGTGAACATCAAGCATTGAAGTCTCTCTTGGCCACTAGTAGTATTTCTCATCTGACCACACCTCCTCATACCCCAGAATATAATGGTTTTTCTGAACAGCGTCATCGCCATATTGAAACGGGACTCACTTTACTCCGTCATGCGTCTATGCCACTTTCTTATTGGTCACGTGCATTCACTACAGTCGTTTATCTCATCAATAAAATGCCTAAAGTCAATCTTTCCATGCAATCGTCATTTGAAAAATTATTTGAATCCAAACCAAATTTTGTCAAATTACGAATTTTTGGTTGCCTTTGTTATCCTTGGATTCGTCCTTTATGTGTCCAATAAGTTAAGACCCCAAGTCTACACCATGTGTTTTTCTATGCTACTCCACAACGCAAAGTGCATATAAGTGTTTCGATCCTGTCACCAACAAGATCTGCGTCTCTCGCCATGTTACATTTGTTGAGTCCGTTTTTCCATTCCTCCACAAAGATTCAACACTTCCGTGTCCAGACAATCAGTCGGTTACTGCTTGGTGCCCTCCTATTTATTATTCTCAATTAATTCTCGAAAAATCTACACTACAATCTCTACCAAATTCGTCCAATATCTCAAATAAGGAAATAAATCCCCCTCACATGGAAACTATCCAACCGCCAAACCCCACTAATAATCCAAGCACACATGACCAAAATCAAATCTGCCAGCTACCCACTATGACCAATGATCAATTTCCTAATATTCTTCCACAATCTGATTCCACTTTCCACAATTCCACTTCACCAAATCAAGAATTCTCATCTTATACCATATCTCACAAATCAAAGGCAATAATGGAGGAATATGGCCATGGTGACCCAGCTCATGCAACGTCACCTTCTCACTCTTTGCATGGTAAGTTCCCAAACGAAGTCTCTCATATTTCCTCATTTCTCTCTACCTCTCTCAACAATGACATTCCTACCTCTACCGCTCCAATCCCTAGTCCCACACCACCTACCCAAATTGTCTCCCCCACACAGCTACCCACTGCACCTTCCGTCCCTCACTCCAATGCTCACCCCATGAAAACAAGAGCCAAGAGTAACAATGACATTCCTACTTTTACTATTAGTAAAATATTCAATAATAATTTTTAAAAGCTACAGGAGTATGAACATAACAAGAAAGAAATGCTATTGATATGTACAATAATAATGCCAAATAACTGTAAGAGGCTGAAAATAACATGTCTAAAACGCTATAAGACTTCAATTCTGTAGCGTTTCTCATATCGTTTTCAGAACACTATATTTTCGTAGGACTTTTAATAGCGTCCAATGTCCTAACACTCCACAAAACGCTATTGGTAGTGCTTAATAGCGTTTTTGGTTAGCTATTGATAATGATATTTGTTGTAGTGCTTCAAACCTATTCAGAAAGTTTCCCTCGCTGCTATTCAATCATCATCTCTCATCATAGAACCCACAACTATTTCTCAAGCACTCAAACATGAAAAATGGCAAACCGCAATGTCTGATGAATTTGATGCCCTTATCCGAAATGGTACGTGGGAGCTTGTACCCTCTCATCCATCACAAGATTTGGTCGGTTGTAAAAGGGTTTTCCAGATCAAATAGCATCCTGACGGGTCCATTGAACGGTATAAAGCTCGTCTTGTTACGAAGGGCTTTCATCAACGATCGGGTATTGACTACCATGAAACTTTTAGTCCGATAATCAAACCCACCACCGTAAGAATAATTTTGAGTTTGGCACTTTCAAAAGGATGGTCCCTTCGATAGCTTGATGTGAACCATGCATTTCTTCACTGACATCTCTCTGAAGCTGTTTTCATGTCTCAACCGCCTGGTTTTGTGGATCAACAAAATCCAACTCATGTATGTTGACTACGCAAAACCCTATATGGTCTTAAACAAGCGCCACGGGCTTGGTACAATGAATTGAAGCAATATCTTCTGTCAACCGGGTTTGTCAATTCTAAGTCCGACACATCTCTATTTATCTACAACAAAATGCCATTAACGATCTATCTATTGGTATATGTAGATGATATCATCCTTACAGGTAGTAACGACCGCATGCTACAATTGTTTATAGACCGATTAGCTCAACGTTTTTCTATCAAGGATCTTG